TCTGATTCGCTTGAGTAGTCTCAACCATATCATCATCACCTGGATTCATCACCTGGATCAAAAGAATTTGGCCGCCTGTCAAATTTTTCCAGTTCACCGGAACAGTCGATTACATATTTAGCTTGTTATGTTGATAGTTTTACATTGTTAGATAAATATTGCAGTTGGTTTTTTAATAGCGAGACTTGGTTTGTGTTTGTATTGATCGTGATAGGACGGAAGTTTATTAATATCCATTTTAGTGAAGGCACGACATTCATCTACTTCTTTTTTCACATATTCATTCTCGTCATCGAACTAATTATATTGCTACTTCTAGGGAAAACAAAAAACTTACAAAAAAATCCAGACAAAAATCCATTCATGCACAATCCATATCAAGAGCGTCCTTGAATCACCTTTTGTTGTAGTGCTTGTCATGGGAATTACAACTTACTCTAGAGCAATGAGTTTTTTGACAACAGCCAATAACAGATGTTTACTATCTTATTCATGGATGAATTTAGGTCACTTGATTGCTTATTTCAATGGAAAATTCTTGTGACATATTCTCTGTGGTCCTTATTATATATGGTATTTTGATTGTCTCAAATTGGTATAATATGTTCTTCTAATTGGAAAAATCCTGAAAATGTATTTTCACATTTATGGCGTTCTCTTAATTATTATAAAATATTTTTAAGGTTTTATTTTCTAAATTAAACATAAGATAAATTAAAATATCTTATAATAAGGATCGAGTATATTATGCTTTTATTATTATCATTAGATGTACGGTTTGATGATCAATGGGGGCTGATAATTAAGTATTTCAACACTTAAATGATCTTGAGCGTGTTTAATAACTCATATATTAAAAATTAGATCATATTCTAATTCGTATAGATTTTTCTTAAATATGTACTTCAACACGACTTTTATCTCCGCATAGTATTAATAATCCGTTATATATCCAAGTTAATTTATTATGAGAAGGATCATACAAACGTTTGGGGAAAAAAGAAAAAAAACTATCTACTGTACTTTTATCAGAAATATAAAGTGAATGCGAATTGGAATCGGTCTCGCCGAGTTTTGTTCCGCTGACTATCTTATATATACATAATATACATGCACGCATATAATTACACTTTCAGAAAATTATTTGAGCAAAATAGAAGAAGAGGGAAAAAAAAAAAAAAGTTTCGTCTGATCTCTTTCATAACTCGAGATCACGGGTTCATGGCGGAAGATCGGGAGAGCCGCGGTTGGGGGGCTTTTTCATGCGTTGTGATAACCATATTACTTGCTGCAATATTTCCAGCACTTTGCATGCACTTAAGTATTTCGGGCCTGGATAATGATACACTCTACAAAATCCATCATCAAAAATTTGTAAGCGAAGAAGAGCTGGGTGAATTTCAAAAGTTGAATGATTGGTTCTACGTTGGCGTGGGATGGGGGATAGCCGTTTTGATGATATTGGTAGTCTTCGTTGTCGTGTTCTTGGCTTCACCTTCCGACGAGGAAAATCATCGTCATGGAGTAAGGCTTTCTGATCTGGAACCGGCCTGATTTATAATCCCGATCGGATAGAGTATCACATGTGATTTTATCGTTAATTAGAAGTTATAACAGATTTTTCATGTACAGGACAAAATCTGTCATGTAAAATCCTAGTTTTTTCTCCTTTAATCTTTTGGAGAAGTTTTGAGCATCAAATTTATTGTTAGATTCCTTTTAAACCCTTCGTCAAATCCCAAAAACAATACTTATTTTATACTCTTTCCGATCCTTAATATAAGATATTTTGATTTCATCATGGGTTTTATCTGATACGAATTTTTTTAATTGACGGGAAAACCTTAAAAATATATTTTCATACTCGTTGTGTTCTCTTGATTGTGACGAAATATTTTTAAAGTTTTTTTTATGAATTAAAGATACGTACTAGGTTAAACATAAGACAAAATCAAAATGTCTTATATTATGTACTATACTACTTTCCCATCTCAAAAAGAATTTTCAAGTTTTAATTGAAATACAAGAGTACGGTGACATACATATTGATCTCCTCCGAAATAGAAATATACTAGATATGTTGTTGTTGTAGTATAAATAAGTGAAATCAAAACTAGACAAACATATTGTGTAGATTGATTTTTGTATTCTAAATTTCTACGTTTCTTGCATGATAAAAGTGACGTATTTTATGAAGGGAGTTTGCCGGTGAAGGATATCCAGATACGGACAGTATTGCCATGATTCACCTAGAGTTTCATTACTAACAAATTACTAAGCAATTAAATTAGTTGCTCAGGAATCCGGAGAAAAAATAGTGAAGACAATATTGCACTCCTTTGTTCTACTTTTCATAATTCGTTTTAATTAAACGAAAGTGGACTATTAGCTACAATCAGAAGACAAGAATATTATTACATAGAGAGATTCGAGTTTTATGCAATTGATTATTATTTTTATTTATTTTTTTTCATACTAGTGTGTGTCCTGCGCTTTACGCGGCTTTGTCAATATTGAAAATTTATATTTTAAAAAAATTGATTAGATAATATAGTTATAAATATATCGTCCTTATTCTTTTAAAAAATGTAGTTACTAATATTTTTTAAAACTCTAATATTTTTTTGATTAATCAATTTTAGATCAAAATGAGAGGTTATTGATATTATTTATGAGAGGTATATTTGTAAGATCTGGTAAAAAATATTACAACAAAGATTTTCAAAATTTGTATAATAAAAATTGTCACCACTAACTAATGTTATGTTTGGTTTAAAAAAATATATTTAAAAAATACGTAAATTATGTCTAGACGCATATGGCCTATTTTTATAGGTAAGTGGACTTTGGGGATTAGATGTAGTTCTAATAAAATATGAGACACAATTAATCATCCTTGAAAACTAAATAGCACACAAATGGAACTTTAAGGGCCAAAATGACAATAGGTTGAAAGTTTAAACTCGTAAATGAAAGGACTTTTGAAGTCGGGAGTTTCTCAACAATTTTCAAAATATTCATTTTCAAACTCACAATCAGGAATTTGTAATATCTGTAAAAATCTTATATACTCCCTCTGTCCCAAAAAAATAGTCCAGTTTGAAACTGTACAATTTTTTTAATTTGGTCAACACATCAAATGTACAACTCATTTCATTCCCCTAACTTCCACTATGCCCCTTCTAGTTATTTCTATAAAAGTTAACTACATATGCATTTATTTTACAACTTAAATTTGATCAAAATTTTTATCTCAAAAAATATTGAAAATGGATCTTGATGGAAAGATCTCGTTACGTAGATTAATTTGATATATAACACATTTTTTAATTATTCATGTATTTAAAGATATAATCATTTGAAAAAATAAGAGAAAACTAAAAAAAATAAAAATCAAAGGAAGTGGACCTTGTTTTTCATACCACTATTCTTTTGGATATTTAAGTCATTTCAATTTAATAAATTTTTTTTTTTGGTTAAACTGGACTATTTTTTTAGGACAAGATTTTTTATTAAATTGGATTATTTTTGTGGGATGGAGAGAGTTGTAAATAATTTATTAACTGTTTACAAAAAATTTTAACTGATTAATGATCAACCAATTAGCAAATGACACGTATTAATTGAGACTTGATGGTCTCAATGAGCGACACGTGTCGATTATCTTTCTTTCCGTTAATATATATAATGATTGAAGGGTGTCCACCGTTAGTAATAGTAATTAATCTCTCTCGCTCATGGTAACCATCTCAATGGAGAACCGCTCAAAGGATTATTTTTAATGTATGCAATTCCAAAAACCGGTATGATTTTGTGGACTTGCAAATGAAAATATTGACATGTATACTACGCCATATACAAATATAAAATGAAGAAGATTGAATCCGTGTTAGAGTAGGAGTGATAAGAAAAGTGAATAAGAATTGGACTCGGTATAGTTTTAATCTAACTCGTCTCTATAAATACGTAGTCACAAGTACTTCAAGTTCAAAGTCTGCTAGTTTTAAGTAATTCCCAACATTGTCATAATCAATTTGTGTCTAGGCGTCGACGAATTATCGAGAGGGGAGAGCAAAGCTGTACATGAAGAAATTTGATCCATGGAAGTGTTGGATTGGCTTAATTGCCGTATTACTTTTTATTTGTATCGGACCTCCTCTTATGACATACTATGTTGGAGGTTTACATAACATGCATCGTCGTGGTATTAAGATTATCAACAGCCAAGGAGAGGTTCATCGTCGATTTCAAGTATTGAACAATATGTTCTACACTTTTGTGGGTTTTGGTGCCACAGTTGGGATTATAGTCTTCTTGTTGTTTCCACCTTACATTTACGACGTGTATGAAGAGAGGCGAAATTGTTATTCTTAATCAAAATCGTTTCGAGAGCAGACCGAGTGTTGCAGCTCGACCGTTCCAAGAAAAATAATTCACATTAAGGTTTTTTTTTTTAATCTATTTTTCTGAGTCAAATATTTTTTTCCCTTTAGTTTTTTGTTGTTTCAATATAAATGAATAAAAGTTTTAATTTCGATGATCTTTTTGTTGGTGTTTGTTTCATACGCCTTAATTTTGAACATCAAATTAATTATATAAATTGGTTTCTAGATATTTACACACTGGTACCGTTAAATAGTGCCCTGCGATTTGTTGATATCAAATATTGAAGTGAACTTATAAATGTAATAATAATAAGCTAAATCTATTGGCTGTTGATTTTTATACTTTGCATCGGGATTACTTATATATGTAATAATAATAATAAGCTAAATCTATTGGCTGTTGATTTTTATACCTTGCATCGGGATTTCCTAAGTTTGAGTTTGTATTGATAATGAGATGGTTCTCTGTTTCTGGGGAAACAATTGTATTGGATATAGCTCTGAGCCTACAGTTTAAGATGTATGTATCTTAAGAGTATCCTGCTGGAAATAGCTCGAATTAAGGTAACAAACCATAACGATATGAAACTCGAAAGAACCATACATGATATAGAGGTTATGATAATAATAAAGTAGACTCACATTTTTGTATTGTATGGATCAACAACTCATACCATTTGTCATGATATAGAATACATACTAAACAAAGTAGTTTCATTAGCAAAAGCTACTATAACAGTTATATCATTGCCATTAGTCATCAACTTAACACATAGCAAGAACAAGTGTAAAAGAAACATTAACCTAAGACAACATTGTGCTTATGGCAATGAATTCACAATATCTCTTTTGGAATGGCTAGTCCTCACTGCAAGTTGTGCTTACGGCTATGAATTCACAATATCTCTTTCCGAATGGCTAGTTCTCTTGCAAGTGGTTCTGAGGATGATCCAAATTCACTCTTCCAAATGCTCCCCAACTCAACAACAAATGGAATACAAGTGAAGTCGATGTTCTTCACTGTCTTCTTTTGCAATGTGGTTGCGCAAGCATAAAACAGCATTCCAGATCTGGCCACAAACACTAGAAAGAATGCATAAACCCTGAGATTGTCGTTTCCTGTAACACCTGTAGTCTTTGACCTCAAATAATAGAACACAATGACAATCAGGAAACTCAAAATTGACACTATCCAATTAACCACCATAAACCACAAAGGCTTGTGATGAGTCAAGGACATGTAAACTGAACCAGCAGACTCTCCAAGAATCAGCACAATAGCACCAATAAATCCCCAAATCAACTGGAGTCTTTTCTCAATCAAATGATCATGCCATGTCTCGATTCCAACTCCAATCAACTCAAACATAAACGGAATGCAGGAAAGGTCACTGATCACAGCCTTATGACCAAACAAGGCAAGAATTAAAGCTACCAATCTCACTAAAAAGATAATGAGATATGCTAACACTCTAAGATAATCTCGCACCGAAGGCTCCTTCCAACAAAAAGTGAGACACACGAAAATGAAAGAGAACAAAGCTAGACCAATATTTGCAGATACTAAACCTACAGAGTGCGTGGCAACCTCACCATAAAGGTTTGTGTAGAAAGGAATGATTGCTGACATAGCCATTTGACAAAAAGTAGCCAAGAAATGAAAGGTAAACACTATCCGTCTACTCCTTTGGGTCCGAACCTGATTGCTTAGAGCCATCAGATTAATTCCGTCCACAAAGTGTTATGAAACTGCTAATAACCTGGGGGGAAAAAAAGGAAGGATTTAAGTATTTGACGATCTCAGTAGCACTTGACATTATTCATCAAAAACAGCCTTGAAGAATGGCAGATATCATTTAGAATCAATAGAGTAATCTTTATATAGAGTGTGTACTAAAAGTAATTCAAATATTGCAATCCTAATGTAGTAAACATTGCATATTACAATCATCGTGACAGTTCTTTTAATCGAAACAAGAAAGAAAAGACTACTTGTGAAGCTGAGATATGTGAGGAGTAAGAAAGAATTATGACACGAGAGGATATGTCGAAGCGCAAAGACCAAAAGACAACTGGAATGCACAGTGTGACAGAAACCCAAAGCTCCTTCATTCAAGAGAAAGAAGAAGGAAAGCAAGGTATAATATAGAGATGTTGCAGAATGATAGTAGCTACTAGCTGGTCTTCAGATATGAATACACTTGACTTAGGCAAGAGGAAGGCTTTCTTCTTTCAGGTTATTTGCCAGCCTTATAATAGCAGCAGGTGTGCGTAATTGACCAACAGGGTGACAACGTAGCTCGCCCAAATTGGTAAATGCAGATGAAGTTAAACAAGCAAATTTCTGCAGTCAAGGATCCTAGAACACCCATATATTTCCAGACCAATCCATAGCTCTCCACCAAATTCCTAGACCCCGGGACACACAATACAATCCTAAACTTGCTCAAAAGTAAGAATTATGAGATTTGATTATTTCAAGAAAACCCATAAAGCCAAAATGCATTGATCAGAAGAAGAAGAAAAAAAAAAAAAAACAACAAGAACAAGCAAAAGTGATGGGAGGGTTTACAAGTGAAAGTATTTCCCCTGGATGTTTGATGCAATCTTTGAGTGAAGAAACAAAAGGGCAGAGGAAGGCAGATAATCCCTTCACCTCTCATGATTCGTCTGTTTTTGGGCTTTGATTATACGACAAATTGAATCTTGATTTTCAATCGCCAGCTTGGAATCCCAGTAAAGATAAGCAGCAATCCCAATACAAATTCTACTTCTCTACCAAATGCTTAAACCACAGTGGACAAAAAAAAACTGAAAAATCACTTCTTCGATTGCTGCAATTCTCTGTTTTTCTTTTTTTTTTTTTTTAGTGAATATTTTCGTCTGGAAAGGAACACATATTCGGCTGTAGTCAATTCAGTTTATGCATTAATGTTACCGTGGCTTGGAAAGTGGAATGGGAGAGAAAAATTCTAGGAAGATAAAACAAAAATGCAGGCTAAAGGAGAGTTTAGGCTTCAAGTGTTATTGGTAAGGCTTAATAGTGGGTTCCGTTCTTCGGGGAAAGAAACTGGAGCGGAGGACGACGGAGAATCGGGCGGAGAGCGGTGGCAGGGCAGAGAAAAGAAGAAGGAGAAGTGCCTGGCTGGCAAGCATAAATTTGTTTTAGGGAGAAATGTCCGCTGGTTTTTCACAATTTGTCGTCTTTTTTTAAGTTTCCCATTTCAAAATATATCGGTAAACACACACTCACACAGTAAGCTACACAAATTCGTTAAGTTTGGAATTTCTATCCAAACACCCTTATTTTCCAATTATTTTCAGTATTTCTCCCTCTTTCGATTTTATACTCCAATCATTCAAAGCACCTTCGTAGTTTTTTTTATTTGCCACATCGGGTATTCACATGTATTAAACAAATAATGATTTAAACTTTAATTTTGTAAGCATAATACATTTCATATTCCTAATTAAAAATATTGAGACTATACAAAAAACTTAAATTTGAAATCAAATTAGGTAGTTGTCATTAATATTATTAAAAGTAGGAAGAGATAAGATTGAAATTAAAAATATATCTTTAATGTTGATATAGAAATGATGTGCGACGGATTGAAAAACAATCTAATGCAACATATAAAAAAAAAATAAGAAGTCGTAATACAAATAAAAAGATTTATTTTAATAAATAATTAGTTTAACCGAAACAGTTATGGTTAAATAGAAGTGAAATGAAAACAATCTTAAATCATTAATCAAGATGGTCACTTCGAATTCTATCTTCAACATGGAGATGTGTCGTGTTATTAAATCACAGAGAAAAATTACAATTAATGTCGTTAATAGTAAATACCATGTAACATGAGAAAAAAAAAAGTATCTAATATATCTAATTAGTGTTGTACAATAAGTTAAACTTGGTTATGGTGGAATTAAGTTTCCAATGTGGAGAGCAACATAAAAAATATATACACTATTTGTCATTGTGAAAGGTCGAAATTCAAATCATATCATTGTCATTTGATAAGAGTTATTAGCAGATTTAAAACTCAAAATATTGATTTACGAGTCTTTTTTCACCACAGAAACAGTGTCAATTCTTTGAAGTAGACAAAATGATTGACAAAATTAGTTGAGGGTTCACATGCTTGTAGACCACATTATTCGGAGGACTATTGTCACAATTTCCTTGATTTTCTTCATTTTATACGTATAGGCGTATGATAGAAAAAATATATATATAAGTAAAATACTTCTGTAGCGATTTCACTAATTTGTAGTTCAATTATGGGATCTATCGTAGAACGTGGTTTTCCGTCTTTCTTTGGGTGGTTTATGCACTTTAGCTTATTTAATTGTAGATTTCTAGTAGTAGTACAATCTTTCAAATCATAGCTTGTGTTGGGGAATGCAATGTCGTAAGACAATATTCCAAATTTTAATCATTAAAAGTTATATTTTAGTGCTTGTTTGGACGTCATCTTGCATTTCATTTTGTCACTTAAAAGTAAAAAGTGTTTTAAGTTGAAAACTAAATAGAAAACGAAAATGTTGTTTGGATGGTATTTTGAGCAAAAAGTTGTTTGGATGTTAGTTTTGAATAAAATATTTTAAACTACATTTTAAAAATATCAAGTACAAGTCATCATTAAACAATTAAATAATGTCAATTATAATCACTTTAAAAAAGAACTTTTCCAAAAACAATCACTAAATAACGGAAACTTGGCAAATTTGTCATTCTAAGATTTTCCTTTGTTAGATTTCGTCATTTAACTATTTTTAGTTCAAAAATGGTCATTACACTAACAAAAAGTGTTTCAAGTTGGAATTTAAAATATAAATCAGAAAATTGTTTAGATGATATTTTTTTTTTCCATTAGATTCTGTGTTTAAGAGATAAAATAAGTTAAAATGTAAAATAAATGGACGTCCAAATAAGACGGTACTTTTCTTTCTTGGGAAGCTAACACACACAAAAAGGCAATTTTCTGAATAATCATTACGTAAGACAACGTATTTGATCACCATTACACTAAGCAAAATATTCCAAAATCCAAATTCCTTTTGTGTTAAGAGTTAACACCAAAAAACCATACGTTAGTTGAACTGTTTCTTACAATAAACACGACAGGCGAATTTTACGAACATAGATGAAATCATAACAAAAACTTTGATAAACTGAACATTTTAAGTATTTTGAGGTTGTTGAAAATTACCAAACTTGGTTTTCTTGAAATTGCAGGGGATTCAAGCTCACCAACTAACAATTATTGTGTAACATTACGACTTATTGTCCAAATTTCATTACTTTATTGAAATAGTGAACCATAAAATAGATCATTAAATTATCAGATAATTTAGTCATCTGCGGCAAAGATGATCGGTTGATTTTTAGATTTAGAATTTGGTACACACACACACACACACACATATATATATATATATATTACATCAATTATTTTTTTAGATAAAATTGTAAGTCGAGATACTTTAATTTCAGTGTTCAGATTTCAGACACTTTATTCAGTCTTCAGATTTTGATTTTTGTCAAACAAGACAAACTTACTCAGTTCAGTACTTATGATTTAGTCTTCAGATTCCAGACTTCAGACCCAAATTAAGTTTTATCAAACGGAAACTTTTATTTTCAAATGTATTATATGTCTTACTTCTAATTAAACGTACGTATTGGATCTCTGCAAAGATTTGAAACTGGAGTGTAAAAAGTAGATAGTTATCATCGGTTTATGTTTTTAAAATAGAAAGATACTTTAGGAATTGTTATTCCCGGTGTGTTGTAATTGCGTCGTAGCAACCTGAAGCTATTGTAATTCCCTATTTATACAAAAAAAAAAAAAAATAGAGAGAGAAAAATAAGGTGAAATTGAAAAAAAAATTGTATTTAATATTACATTAGAAATGAAGTATCCTAAAGCAACAAATATAAATAACTGGAGGTAATAAAATGTTATTGATTGTAATTCTCTATCAACCTTGATTGAACATTTTTTAACAAAGTTAATGGAAGTTTCGTTTTTCTCAACCTATTAGATAGTTTCATTGACAGATGCCTTACTGTTCCTCAGCACCAATTTGGTGCTTGACTTTTTTATTATTTTTTTACTTTTATTTAATTTAAGTAATTTATAAAAGAATCCTTTTAAATTAACTAATGTATAATTTATGACTATTGTATATTATTATAAAATTATAAAATTACTAAATTTATAAATATAAATTTGATGAATTTTGATTGATCTCATGTGTATGATTTAATTTTTAATTTATAACATTACAAAAAAAATGTAATATGAATAGAAATGTATATATGTGATATATATGTGATATCTTTGGGTATTAATATATTAGATATCTATTTTGAATTATTTTTTTAGTTTGTCTTTTCAATATTATAATATTATTCCCAAACCAGTTCACCTATTTTCACTTTGTAGCTTATAAAATTAGCAGCGGCAACACCTTGTCTTCACGAACAAACACAAAAAAACATTAACATTTATGGCGGATCATCATGAGGATTTTGTGAAGAAAATAACCTCACTGGATCACTGGATGCATTGGGTAGGTCTAATCGCGATATCGGTTTGCTTTGGGATCGCCCCACCTCTGGTGATATATTATGTTGGGGTATTAAATCATCATCATCAGTTTATCAACAGCAAAGGCGACATTATTCTTCGATTTCAAAGGATGAACACTTTATACCAGTGTTGTTAAACTCGGATCGGACCGGCCAGTTCAACCGGTTAAACCGGGAACCGGATCACATACCGAGCCGAGTGACTTAAAAAGTTTTTTTTTTGTGACTCGGTCAAAACCGGTCAGAACCCCGAGGGAACCGGAAATCGGGCAGAATTAGGACCCGGGGTTTATGTTTTTTTGCACTTTTGAGCCAAATTTTTACCTTTTTCCCCTCGTTTTCCTTGTGTTTCTCCCTCTTTCTTGGTCCAAATATATGCCTTTTGTTCTTAAATGGCCCAACAACTTTTATTCATGAATTAATTTGTCATTTTAGTCCAAATTTTCTAGTTCCACTTATAAAACAACCATATTTAAATTAAAATCTTTTTTAATATTTTTCTCACATATAAAATCCTATTATTTTACACAAAATTTAAACTATACCTTGAATATAATGAAATTAAATTATATTTATATACATTTTATTAATAATAAAAGTTGATTACCTTGTATAACTTTATAAATTTTAATCACAAATAATTAATTATGTTCATTCTGAAATTAATATACTTATGTTAAACTGTAATTACATGCTCTAATTAAAGAACTATTGTTGCCTATTACCATAAAAAGATTCATAAATATTAAGTCTTTTTAATTATTAGTATATTTTTTAATTAATCACAAATAATTAATTATGTTCATTCTGAAATTAATGTACTTATGTTAAACTGTAATTACATGCTCTAATTAAAGAACTATTGTTGCCTATTACCATAAAAAGATTCATAAATATTAAGTCTTTTTAATTATTAGTATATTTTTTAATTATATATTATTTATTACGTAGTATTGACGTCATCCGCATCGACCTCGAGTCGACCCGAATCGACCCCTGAAACCCTTGACCCCTGCCCTCTCCGAGTCAGTGTCCGAGCAGAGTCTGACAACATTGATCTATACCACACGTTTTTGGGACTCGGCTAATTCATTGGGATTTTTGTCACGATTTTGTACTATATTACGTCTTACGTGCAACATCGGAAGTAATCGATTTCACTTATGACTATGGAGATCAGAAGAAGTCAACCGAGAAGAAGAACCCTAACAACACGGTAACGGCGGTGCCGGAGGCTGCCGAGGATGAAGGAAACGGCGACATGGCATTATTTTGGTTATGTTTGGTTATGGCATTACTAGTTGTCAAAATGCCAGCTCTTATGCAATATTACCTAGCCGGTGTAGGTCGTACCCTCGACAAGATTCGTCGTCACGAGTTCGTTGGTCCGGAAGATTTGCATGAATTTCGATGAAATAATGATTTGTTCTATGGCCTTGTGGATGTCAGACGGGTTTATGATGTGGTTTGTTGGCTACCATCTTCTGTTTTTGAGAGAGTTGGATGCTTACATAATTTGTGGTTGGTATGAAGAAATATGTCATCTCTGGAAGTTCATGACTACTCGGAGTTCAAAATTTGTACAAGAGAAGACC